TCCACATAGGGAACCGGGAACCGGCCCAAACAGTACCGGTTCCAAAAAATTGGAACCGGGAACAGGACCGGTTCCCTTGGGAACCACCGGTTCCGGTCCGGTTCCGGGCGGTCCAGGCGGGTCCCGGTTCTTTTGCACACCCCTAGTTGGGATACTATAAAGCTGGAAGGAACGTGGGAAACTATGATGGAGACAGTTGGGGGATCGCAACAACATGCATCCTTCTAGAAAATTGGGTCGCTCTTTCCGTAAATCCTTTCTCGAATTCCACCCCACCATGTCCAAAAGTGTTTTTTTTTCAAATTATTTTTACAATTTAGCAAGTATATTTTTGATATTTTTCATGACATGTATAGTTTCGAGGGCTAATATCACAAAAAATCACAAAACTGAAACATTTGTAACAAATATACATTTAATTAGTTTTCATTAAATTTTACTGCCAAATTATTGAGTTAAATTACACGTGACAGTTGACGGGTGTATCAGTTTGAGATTTTACCTCTCTTTTTGTCACAAGTTTACGAGTTTATAATTCTTCGTGATATCAATCCAATTTAACGGAGGGTAAATTTGTCACAAGTGTATAGATTTGGAGCTTTTGATGGTCAAAAAATTAGTTTTGGGTAAATTTATCACAAGTGTACCAGTTTGTGATTTTTAATGATCAAAAAATTAATTTTTGGTAAATTTGTCACAGTAGTACCAATTTAGAGTTTTTAGTGGTATTAACCCTAGTTTCAATAGATAGTGGGAAATATAATGGGAAAATGACAAAAATTATCTTTAAATTTTCGCTTGATATGCAATGTCATCTTTGAATTTTTAATTCATTCAACGTGTTCCTCAAGTTATTCCTAAATATGTACTCTAGTCACTAAACTTTCAGTTAACTCAATCTAATTCCTCAACTTTCCATAAAAAAGTTAAAAGTTTCGATAATTACACTATTGCCCGGATTTTAGAATATCTGTTTTTTTTTTGTAAGGATTTTAGAATATCTTTTCATTCAATCCATTTCCTAAGTCAACAAAGATAGTATTATCTTTTTACTACTTGTTTACCTTTTTTGTCTTTATAAATATTATAATAATTACATTTAAGTATATCAGCTTATGATCTATATAAAAGTGAAAATAGAACCTAATTTAAAGTTGTATCGGGTTGATATTCCTAATATTATAATATCCTAGTTTAGAAATTTAACTAAATTTAAATAAGAAAAAAACGAAACACAAAAATTTGATAATTCTATTAATCTAAAAAATGGGAACAATATTTAAATTTAATATAAGTACGAAAAATATATAGATAAATTGTTGTCGTAGTTAAATAATCTTATGAAAACACTAATTATTGAAATAAAAAGAGTATGAATCCAATATAAAATCTAAATAAGGTTATATTTGTACTATTATAGAGACTATAAGTTAAAATATATTTAAATCGAGCTATAGTAATATTAATAAAGATCAAAAAGGTAAAAAGGCAATAAAAATATAGCATATTTTTTATTGAATTAGGAAATGGATTGAAATGAAAACTTATGAATATTATCGAAGGACTAATTTGATTTTGTTTCAAAAAATTGAGGGACTAGATTAAACAAATTGAGAGTTTAGGGATTAGATTGAACATTTGGAATAGTTCAATAATCACATTGAACGAATTAAAAAGTTCAAGGATGATATCGCACAACGGGCTCAAATTTAAGGACTAGATGTGTCATTTTCCCAAATATAATCTACAAGAGCAATTTTTTTTTTGTCTTGTTTTATTCTAACTTTCAACTCACTCTCAAACTTTTGCTCTATCTCTTTGCAGAGCGTAGGAGTTGAACTCCATACCTAAAACTAAACGTTTCCACCCCTAACTTTTCCATCTCCATCCCATGTGGGAAGGATGGAAAGGATGGCCACCTGGGGCAACCCCCAGTAGTTACACGAGCAAAGTTCAAACAATGATATCGACGCATATATTCATATGTATCATTCATTCAAATATATATATATATATATATATATATATATATATATGCATTTATATATTTAGAAAGAAATGGCTCCACGCAAAATAAAAGTCAAATTGCATTTGTGATGCTGACAAATTTTGGAAACACAAAATTACAGCAAAAAATTTGACCGGTCTCTTTCTTTCCCCGAAAGAGAGTTGAAAAGTCCGACTTGGAACACGTACGCCCCTCGCCAATTGTCCAGCGCACGACAAGTGAGGGAGCCGTCCGAGCTTCTCGTACTGTCCCACCCAACCCCTACGATTTAGCCAGCCTTTCCACGTCCGATTGTCCAGCGGCCGCATCCTACGACTGACCACGTGCCACGTGGACTCCGCTCATTCGTGTCCCCTTCCCCACTTTTTAGGTCCCTATCAATAAGTCGTGGTTAGTCATCAAATTGCTCAGATTCCCCAACCTCCGTTCAATGTCGGCTTTTACCCAAAAACCCGATTTTGATTTGCGCGTCAAAACTTGGGTTCGGAGACACAAGTGCCCCTTATTTTGAGTAGCTGAGTAGATAAATGTCAATTTCATTTCGAGCTCGTATTGACTAGCGTCCAATTCGGTATGCCCCGTGCATGAAAAAAAAACGAGAGGAGTTGCCCTTAGGATTGGCGCCGGTTCATTGGGTCATCCAGGGATTTCCAATTCAAGAACTTCGCTCGTTTGAATCCTATCACCACGTGTGAATTGTTCAAGGTCAATACCACTCGCGCACAGGCTAAATTACTAAGTTTAATCGATTCGTGGGGGTTTTTGCGGGGTATTTCATGAACGTTTGGATAGCCAGATCTCAATGCACGTACCCCTGGACTGTCAAAGAAGAAAAGCAAAGAAGTGGCGCTGGTGTGCGAGCGAATGAAGAGAGAGAGAGAGAGAAAGTAAAGGAGGCGAAAGTAAATAGATCAAATTCAACCAAACATCAAGAGTGTTGCTAATGCACCGTTTCGTTGTTTTACATTGCACGAGAAGATGAAACCCTGATGAGCAGTAGATTGGTTCCTCATCTTCCACTTTTATTTATGACATTCCTATCGACATCTGAAGATGGGAATTTCATTAGAGCAGCGAATAATCCGATATACTTTTAGGAAAATGTCATAAATAATGACGTAAAAAGTCACTATGGATCCTAAATTCAATCAATGAATTGAGAGCCTGAGGCATCCGGCAGCAAGCGCTTGAGATGATAATATTCAGACCGATCATGAGCGCACGTGGCATCGCACGATTCGCATCAGGCGGCCCCCAGGAAGACCGCGCACGTTATAGCAGCCGAAAACCCCGCGTGCATCCAACCGGGGGTGTGGGGCCCGCCCGCCTCGATCCGGCGGTCAACGGCCGTCCGATCCCAACCAAAGCGGCCACGCGCCCCTTCGGGAACGTGTGGGGCCCCGCCCCCGCGAATGCGCGCACGCCGTCGCGAGCCTTTAGGAGGAGGAGAGCACGAGAGCCACGAGTTCCGCCACGTGGCCTCCGTTCCTTGACCGCCAAGTCAATGCCAGCGAGCTCCGAAAAACCACAAAAAAAAAGAAAAATGGAAATTCGACCGAACAACGCAACCAGAAAAGGAGGAAGAAGCCTGGAACGATCGCGACGTTGACGATCTTGCTTCCTCTGTTCTTCGAACGAGCGACTGTTCTCCAACATCGTCGGAACTCGCCGGCCGCAGATCCATCCGGAGCGCCCGCTTGGGGAAGAGATGAGGACCTCGACGACGCTGCTCGACAGGTTCTCCCGCGCCTTCCACGACCATCCCTCCCTCGCCAAGCTCGTCGTCCTCTTCACCGTCAGGTTTTTGCCCCTCCTCCTCCTCCCCTGCTTTTCCCGCTCGTGTTCTCCGCGTCTTATCGATCGGAGCGGTTTCGGGGCGACGTCGTCTCGTGGCTATGAAAGGGTCGGGTGTCGTTGAGTCTTCTCGGTCCGTGTTGCGTGGGGGCGTGGTGGTTTTTTTGTATGTGCGTCTGTCTCTGTTCTGTGAGGGAAGGTTTCTGAGGCGGGGACCGACGAGCCGTTTCCTGTTTGTTCCCGTGTGATATCGGGTGTTCGCTTGGATGTAGCTTTAAAGTTTCTGCATCTTCGTTGTTATGCCCTGTGAATGGCGTGAAAAGTAACTTGGTGTCTTGTCGCTTGAGATTGTATGTCCTAATGCTTGAAAGTGGGGCTGAGGAATGCTATATTTTTGCGGAGATCGATAAATCTCTTTGACTTGTTGAATTTTTTCGAGCCTTGTTGCATCTGGGTGTGGCGGTTTTTTGTATGTGGATGTCTCTGTTCTGTGAGGGAAGGTTCTCAGGCGGGAACCGACGAGCCGTTTTCTGTTTGTTCCCGTGTGATATCGGGTGTTCACTTGGATGTAGCTTTAGAGTGTTTTTTTGGTAAGGAAATGTGGCTTTAGAGTTTCTGCATCTTCTTTCTAATGTCCTGTGAATGGGCGTGAAAAGTAATTTGGTGTGTTGTCGCTCGGAATTGTGCGTCCTAATGATTGAAAGCGAGGATGAGGAATGCTAGATTTTCGCGGAGATCGATGAATTTTGTTGGCATGTCAAGGGACGATGATGAACCGAGAAGGGGTCTGGCAGGGCTTTGGCCCCGACCCCCTGCAGCGTGGTGCTTGCTGCTGTAATATTTAGCAAGTATGCATTTTATAATCCTGGAAGTAGTTTAGCATAAGATTCTCACTTCTCGCCCGAGAAAGAGTATTGCCAATGCTTTTATCTCGCTTCCCCGAATCTAAAAGTTCCGACGTCTGCCTCTATCAAGAACTATGGAGATAGGGTATTGCGTCGAGTACTTAAATAACAATCGCAATTGCATATTCACTGTATATGAAACCGTGTCAGATACCAATTTCATTGCAAATGGTAGGATTTTCTTTTAAAGCGAAAAGATAAAACGCCATGTTCTCTTTTATTGATAGTTTTCCGTAGTTTATCATTTAATGTTAGAGTTTCACAGCTTGTTTCTTCTGTTATGATTTGTTCAGTGGAGGAGGGCTTGTGGCATATGCAGAGGCAAACTCAGGTGCACAAGCAATTGTGCCAGTAGAAGCAGAGAGCAAAAAGAAGAGGGTGGTGGTACTTGGAACTGGCTGGGCTGGAACATCTTTTTTAAGGAATATTAAGAACTCCTCCTATGATGTCCAGATTGTGTCACCTCGTAATTACTTTGCATTTACCCCTCTGTTGCCGAGCGTTACTTGTGGTACAGTGGAAGCTCGTAGCATTGTTGAACCAATTCGGAACATTGTTCGGAAGGTAATAGAACTCTCATGGAATAAGATTAGATGATCAGAAGTCCATTAAATCATGTTTTATTTGCACGTGAATTTCTTATTTGGAATGCTTATTGAGGATTAGACAGGTTCAATGAGAGTGGTCTATGTGATAAGTTCCTAGAGAAATATTTATTCTCTATAACTTTAATCATCCTGGGGGATATATCATAAATCTTCATTTATGGGTTTGGTGTCTTTGATGGACCTTGAAATCATTTGTAAACCATCTTATCACCTGTTTCTGAAATGATTGGGCAGACCTTTAATCAGTGACTATAGAGTTTGTGCGAGTAGCAATAGCTTAATATGGTTTGTCTTGTGTTTTTTGAAGCAGAAAAATATGGACATTCGTTTCTGGGAAGCCGAGTGTGTCAAGATTGATGCAGAAAATAAAAAGGTCTACTGTCGAACTAGTAACGGGACCAATTTGAATGGAAAAGAGGAATTCGTTGTTGACTATGACTATCTCGTTATAGCCATTGGTGCCCGGTCCAACACATTTAATATTCCTGGGGTTGAGGAGAACTGCAAGTTCTTGAAGGTAAGTTTCCTGTAACTGTCTACTTATACCTAGATTTGTAAAGATAAAACAGTACCATATGGTTAATTTTGACTACAGGCACGATTGACTATAGGCATTAATAGATTGGAGATTCTTGTGTGCCTTCTCATGTATTTTCAAATAGTAGGATGTGTGAATAAACTGCACTGAAGTTTTGATGCCTGTGAGCAATTGTCATTGGAATTTTAGTTACTGCACCAGGAATGGAGTTTATGATGTTTTGTTTTTTTTTTCATGTTGACCTTTTAGGAAGTAGAGGATGCTCAAGAAATTCGAAGAAGTGTCATCGACTGTTTTGAAAGAGCAAGCCTACCAAACTTAAGTGATGAGGAAAGAAAAAGAATTCTTCATTTTGTTGTTGTTGGCGGTGGCCCAACAGGTGTGGAGTTTGCTGCAGAGCTTTATGACTTTGTGAATGAGGATTTAGTGAAATTGTATCCACGGGTGAAGGAGTTAGTGAACATAACACTTCTGGAGGCAGCTGATCATATCTTGAACATGTAATTACTCTATACTTCATTATGTTGTTTCTTTGGCGAACCAATTATTTATGTCTTCTTCGTGTAAATGCATACCGGCTATCTAGTGTCTACGTACACAATATTTCTTCTTCCGTCTTGGAGGGTCTCCATACTTTCGAATATAGTGATATGGATATTCTCCAGAATCAGGGCATAGTGTAAAAACTATTGTTAGTCTAAACTCTTTAATTTATCTCATGTGATTTAATGTCATTAATATACTTGCCTCGTAAGAGGAAGATTATCTTCTGGAATGTCTGCTAATCTGAGGATGCTAACTTTTATGCCTTAGGCATGGCATGATGTTATCAATGGGATGGGTTTGTGCATTAGTTGGAAGAATAGTAATATCAACATCTTATTATGATAGTGCGACCTCTCTCATCTATCTGGAGGCTGAAAGGGTAGTATGCCTACTAATAGCGGAACACTCTCATAATTCAGACAAGGTTCAGCATACTGAAGACATTTAGTCTTTGGCAGGTTTGACAAAAGAATCACCAATTTTGCTGAGACCAAATTCCGAAGAGACGGAATTAATCTAAAAACTGGGTCAATGGTTGTGAAAGTAACTGATAAAGAAATTTCTACCAAAGAGAAGACTGGGGAAACATCTTCTATTCCCTATGGTATGGCTGTCTGGTCAACTGGTATTGGGCAGCGGCCTGTAGTAAGAGATTTCATGAAGCAAGTTGGTCAGGTATGTCATATGATAATTTGTCTGCTTCTAGTCTACATTACATTTGAGTTACCCATAAACTTGTATTCTTGTGTAAATTAATTATTTTGGATCAACATTTCGGTGAGACAGGCTAGTAGACGCGCTCTGGCAACTGATGAATGGCTTCGTGTCGAGGGATGTGATAGTATATATGCACTTGGTGATTGTGCCACAATTAATCAGCGAAAAGTCATGGTAAAGTTCCTATATAGCTCTCTAATACATTTCTTTCATGACCTTTGTGGCTTACTTTCATTTCATTATTAGAGTTTTACTTGTCAATCTACCTTGGAACTTAAATGCTAAGGTTGACATGTCACGATTTGTCTTAATCGAAAAAAGCTTTGTTCTGAATGAAAGAGTCAACGCTTCTCCAGAGTGTAAACACCCATTTCCCATGCGGCCCTTTACTCATGCAAAAATGTTTTGACGTGTTTAAGTTGTCTTGTCACAGTACATAATGGCTAAAGCCAGTTTGAAGTGCCTTACATTTCATTATGAAAAGATAACCACTACATTTTCTGTCAGTTTTGTGTTCAGATTTCAGCACTTGCTATTCAGCATCTGCTTCAGTGTGCTCTGTTAAAATTTAATCAATCTGAGTGCCTAATAACTTGCACTCTTCTGTTTTGGCTTTCTCAGTTGAATTGCTAAAAGGTTGCTCCAGGAAATTATTGAAACGCTTATGTCCTGGTACTGTAGCAGGGGCCGAAATTGGAGTTTTCTTTGAGTTTAGAGAACATGAATGCGTCCACTTAAAGATAGGGCCTTCACAAAATATGCTAATCAGCTAACATGAATGTGTCCACTCAAAGATAGGGCCTTCACAAAATATGCTAATCAGCTAACTACTAGTCATGGCATATTTCCCTTTACACTAAGAAATGCAGTTTTAGTGACAGAGTTAATGGAACCAACTCCATCTAGGGATGGCGTGACAATTTGTTTGATTGTTTGTTCTCAGGAAGATATTGCGGCTATATTTAGTAAGGCAGATAAGGACAATTCGGGGACACTGACTGCAAAAGAAGCTCGTGAGGTCATTGCTGACATCTGTGAAAGATACCCTCAGGTGGAGCTGTACCTGAAGAATAAGAAATTGGGAGACATTGTTGATCTGTTGAAGGAATCGAAGGGGGATGTCGAGGAGGAATCAATCGAATTAGATATTGCAGAATTTACCTCGGCTCTTTCCCAGGTGGATTCTCAGATGAAAAATCTTCCGGCAACAGCGCAGGTATAGCTCCAGTCATGATCAAAACACCTTTTCTGGATGATGCGATTGGATTATTTACTTATGGTTTTACTTGAATCTGCCATATGAACTCAGGTTGCAGCACAGCAAGGTGCCTATCTAGCTGATTGTTTTACCCGGATGGAGGAGTGTGAGAAAAATCCTGAAGGTCCTCTCCGGTTCAGAGGAGAGGGCCGCCATCGGTTCCGTCCTTTTAGGTACGTAAAAGTTTGCTGAAGCATCCCATCTGTGAACTCTAAACGAGATCAATTGTAATCCTATGAATACAAATGTAGGAATTAAAGCTTATTCTGATTACATTTTCACAGCAAAAACAGTACGTTTCTGTGTGGTTATAACCTTTCTCCGAGACTATTCTTTAAAGCTCATTACATTTTGACTTTTGAGAAGCGTTTTAATATGCTGAACCACTTCATATGCTTGACTCTATTTGCGTTGTGTGATTCCTGAAGGTACAAGCATTTAGGACAATTTGCTCCTCTGGGAGGAGAACAGACAGCAGCACAACTTCCTGGTGATTGGGTCTCAATCGGTCAAAGTAGTCAATGGCTCTGGTATTCTGTCTATGCGAGGTATCTCTCTCTCTCTCTCTCTCTCTCTCTCAAATGTTACCTTCAAGCACGATGTCGTTTAATGGCAATCTGATTTTAACCTTGCTAATTGCGAAATTCAGCAAGCAAGTCAGCTGGCGCACGAGGATGTTGGTGATATCAGATTGGACGAGGCGTTTCGTTTTCGGGAGGGACTCGAGCCGTATCTGAAGCTACATAAGTTTATGCTGGACTTCTTTTCCTCACGACTACGGCGTATGGGCTAGTGATTCGATTTCAAAGTTTTGAGAGCCTCCTTTAAGAGTTTTGCTTGTAATAATTCAATTCACAGTCCCATTGATTTATTCATGATAGGTAGCCAACTAAGCATATAGCTACCAAAAATAAACTTAACTGCTTGAAGCAGCAAAATATTATATTGGGGAGACATCCTTTCATTTGGATGGTGAACGTTAGTAAAAGTTTCTGCTTGAGATTGGACCGCCTACTTCGATGACCGCCGATGTGATCAATTTCTAAGTAGGACACAATTCGTAATTCTCGCTAAATTCATATAATTCAGCAGCTTTGTGCATCAGTCTCAAATATCAGATAATAATCAAGTTTGTCATGTCATTTTGGTGATCTCTTCTTCATTGTAACCGTCCTTTAGAAGCAAATAATGGACAACATGTAATGGTGATAGCCTAGCCTTCTTTGAAAACCGCCAATAGGGGCAAGCATCTTCTTTCTTTCTATGCAACTCAGCTTGACAAACTTATTCATACGATCTAAGCTGCAACATGAGTACAACTAGAGGATACAAGTGGGAAAAGGCTCTCTTTTGACTTGATCCGAAGAAATTTGATTTTCGCAAAGAGTGTGTAATCCCGATAATATGATGCATTTGAGTCATCAATTAATAGGGGTGCGCAAGTTTCAAAGCGAGGCTGGGTGTATCTTCTTGCCTATAAACTCATTTAATCGTTACTGGCCGTCTCTTTGGAGTGTATGGATTCGGGCAAAGGATCTCTCGAATTTATTTAGAAGATTATCAGATGCTTAAACCGGATATCATGCTTAAACTAAGTCGCGTTCCGTGTTGCAGAATCCCTATAGCATGCATTACATAAGTCTCCCATAACTTGTGAATGCCAAGTAAATTACATGGTTGATTTTGCTTGAACACATGAAGACCAATTTGATCTTGATGAGGCATTCTTCATTGTAGTGTTCTTCATTCTACACGACCACAAAATTCATAGCCAGTGTCTATCCACCAACTCGAACCTCGTTGTAACTCGACATCTAGTAGTCTAAAAGCATCAAAGGAGACGCCCCCACCAGTTCAACTTTTACTTCGTGTGGGCAACATCACAACACGTGCAGCATAGCCCCAACTCTTTGTGCACATGTAGTCTCTCAAGTTTTGCAACGTTATGTATACTTTGTGCTCTATATATGCATCTTAAAACTTATCTAACATGCCGGTTCGTAGTCCCGGGCGTTATGTAGGGAATGCAGTTGAGTCATAAACCTTTCAATTGATTTAACCAATCCTAAACCTTCACCGAAAAGTACGATGGAGCCCTAAACCTTTCATTTGATTGAGTTAAGTCCTCGATCTTTATCGGAAAATGTAATTTAATCCTAAAATTATCTCGAATAGTGTAATTCAAAGATGCCGTATAAGCACATTTTAAGTACACATAAGTAATTTTAGATATTGCTCTTCGCAATGACTTGATTGCACTTTTTGAACAAGTCATGGCTTAATACAACTAATTGAAAGGTTTAGGACCTAATTGATCCAATTGAATGGTTTAGGACTTGGGTACATTTCACGCACAAGATTTAGGATTTCCGGTGCAACTTTCCCCAGTATGATTTCCTTCTCAGATTGGAGCTCCCCATAATTTTATTTTTATATCCCCCCCTTCCCAATCTTTGTTTTGGCTAATTGTCAATTTCAAGCAGTTGGAAATTGGAATGATTACAAGCACGCAAAAACCGGATCCACAACCGATAACTCAAGTATACACATGGTTGGTTCATACTCTTGTTTCAAATCCAAGCAATAATCTCTCCCTCTATGTATTCCCACTTATGCTGCTATGTTTATATGGCATATAGGGTCAACTTTGCCCAACAGAACTTAGATCTATAGAGGTAAATTGATTCGTGGGGACTACCTTTCCCTTTGAAGCCAAGCGATTTTTCCAGTCTAAGCATTAGCTTTTATCTCTCCTTCTCTTGAATGTATTCTAGTGGATCAAGTCAATCATATATCGAAAAACAGGGTAGGATTCATATTGAATTCTACGACAATTATGTACCGGTTTTTGTACCTTGCTCATATCTTCGAATGAAAATTGAAAAACATCGTCAGTGCAAAAAATGTCCTTGTAAAGGGGTATGAAAGAGAACAAAAAAGTAAGAACGCAATTGAAAACCAAAACATTAGGTTAAATGAAATAGAGGAGGAATTTCGGGCATCAATGCCGATTCCCTTTAATAGAATGAGCGTTCTGCTAAGAATCTCATTTGTTATCGGCATCACTGAAACACTATTTGTACAAAGAAAGAAGAATGGAGGCCAGAATCGATCGCAATTAGATAGCAAACATAGCACAAGAGTTACTACAATTAGATGTCCATGATTCTAAGGTATCGAAAATGAGTAGAGTGCGGTAATTTCCAAGGACATCCATAGGCGCAAAATCTACATTCCTCGATAAAGAAAATAGACTAAAAATTATGCGATTGCGACGACGATAAACGAAATAAATCGCTAATTCACCATCGAAATTGATCCGAGTTACGTATCGATGTTTATACCGGTGAGAGTTGTATTCACAAGATCACACTTTTCGGTCCACAGTAAATAGCCATTGAAAAGCCGTGAAAAGTTGCACGAAGTTTCACCTCCTAAAGAGAAAGTGAACAAGTGCCAAAACAGTTGCGAGGCAAGCGAGGAGGGTTTTTTCAGTCTCTCACATGGGTGTGGGGTTGCAAGAATTTATCATTATCACGCCTCAGGATATTGAAGTTGTCTACTTATTAATGTGGTCCATATATACATATATATATTTATATGTATTTATGCATTGGCCAATGCGTACTAATCGAAATGGCTGAGCCATACGATCGACCGGAGATACTATAGGAGAAAGCTAGCAATTCATGCGCCTATTTCGTCATCGATGTAAAGAAGCTAATCAGTCACTTATCGGTATCTAAGTATCCAAAAAGAAGAAGAGAAAAAATCCGAGACGTCATTAGCATCATCGTACCTTCTAATCGACCATTTCCTGATATGCAACGCATGTACAAGATACTTTCTAATATGTCGCACATCGTTTAGCCAAATGATGGCATTTGATCCACCCTTTTCCTAATTCTCTCTCTCTCTCTCTAACTCTCTCTTCTAGCATCAATCCCGCAGCTTTTGTCTCTTGCTAATGAGAACCAAAGCCCTGCGTTCGCATTGTAGAATGCAATCTTCTGTCAATCACATCTTCAGATGGTGAAAAGGAGTTTTAACTCAAAAGATGAGAAGCCATTGATGGAAAAAGAAAGTAAACGTTGCGAAGTTTTCCTTCAACAGATGTTCTTGAATCCAACGCGGGAGCAAGCAAATGTGTCGCCTTTTTGCTTTCTCTAGGGGGGTGAATGTATGGAATCGATGGTTTTGTCATCCAATTCGAAGCTCTTGATTTTCCCCATGGATGAGAGTCCGTTCTCCAGCAGGTTTAATCATAGTTTAATCATAGTATATATGTATATATGTATATACATATTATATACATAGATTTTATGGATAATAATAGAAAAATGGCTCTGTCCATGTCATCTCATTTTCGAAGTTAAGTGACAAAATAACGTTGTATGAACTGTCACTTTTATACGACACCCCAGTCCAAATACTCAGAGCCTTGTGGTAGCAATGAATGAGCGCATAGGCTCCGATTCAGCTTCTTCCAGGAACCAAAGATAAAAGTCTCATCCTCTTCGATCCCTCTCAAAACTTGCAGACACTGACTTTGCAGGATGTTCTTCTTCCGCAACAGCTAGCAGATGCAGAAATGGGGGAAGGAGAAGGTGGAGCAGAAGGAACGCCAAGACAATCCCTCCAAGAACAGAGTTGCCAAGAATCAAACCCGACCTGCAAACGGGCCATCGAGTTGGTTTCTTCGTTGGCCTCCCTGTCTCGCTCGATCAAAGTCTTCACGGTGAAATGGCAACTCATTCGGAGCAAGCTGGTGGAGATATCTTCTGCACTGGTCGTCTCCGATGAGGGGGATGAGCTTTCGGGCATGGTTCAAGAAATGATGGTCACGGTCGGGGAGTGTCGTGGCCTCGCTGAGAAATGCATGGCTTGTTCCTACGGTGGGAAGCTGTTGATGCAGAGCAATTTGGACATGGTCTTGACAAAGCTGCATTGCCATGTCAAGAATCTCTCTGGGATGCGGAAAGCTGGTCCTTTTCCTCACGGGTATGCCATTGTTGTCTCAAAGCCGAGGTTTGGGGCTTGTAAGGAGGACATGAGGTTTTATGTTAAGGATTTGTTGACAAGGATGAAAATTGAGGAAGACCCGGAAATAAAGAGGCAAGCTCTGGTCAGTTTGCACGAAGTTGCGAGCGAAGATGAGAGATTTGTGAAGGTGGTCACGGAAGTTGGGGAGATCATTCACCTCTTGGTCAGCTTCCTTGATTCTCTGGAGATAGAAGTTCAAGAAGAGGCTGCAAGAATGCTCTCGGTGGTTGCAGGGTTCGAGTCATGCAGGGATGTGGTGATTAGTGCAGGGATTGTTGCTCCACTGGTTAGGGTTCTGGAGTGGGGTGGCGACGTGGGAAAAGAACTGTCTGCAAGGTCTTTGTTGAAATTGACTGCTAATTCGGAGAATGCATGGAGGGTCGCCGCTCATGGCGGTGTCACAGCTCTGTTGAGAATATGTTCTTCTAGCACCGACTTCTCCAAGGCAGAGTTGATTTGCTCTGCTTGTGGGGTGCTGCAGAATCTCGCCGGAGTTTTGGAGATCAAGAGGTTTATGCTTGAAGAAGGCGTGATTTCGGTGCTCCTTAGGCTTGCAGGGGCTAAAGATGAGACCGTGCAGATTAGTTCAATCGAGTTCCTGCAAGATTTTGTCTCAGGGGATGAGTTCTTGAGGCGAATGGTTGTCGAAGAAGGCGGACTTCACGCTTTAATGCGCCTTCTCAATCCGCTATCATCGTCTTCATCGTCTTCCAAAGCACTGGAGGTAGCTTTCAGGGCAATTGAGGACCTCTGTTTCTCTTCGGAGACCGGTGTCAAAATGCTGCTGAAGCACGGGTTCGTGGAAGTCCTAGTCCGCTTCCTCCGCGACCGCGAGGCCTCGGTCCAAGAACTGGCCTTCAAGGCGGCATTCAAGCTGACCAAGACATCATCCGATGATGCCAAAAGGGCGCTAGGAGACGCTGGCTTCATGCCGGAAATCGTCCGGTTCCTCGGCGCGAAATCGCACAGGGTCGGCGAAATGGCGGCAGATGCGCTCTCCAGCATGGTTTCGATCCCGAGGAACAGGAAGAGATTCGCTCAGGACGAGCAGAACATGGAACTCCTGATGCATCTGCTCGAGACGGAGGCGGATCATTGGGGCGGGAGGAAGTTCTTGCTATCTGCGTTGATGTCGTTGACGAGCTGCGGCAGCGGGAGGAAGAAGATTGCCAATTCCGGGTATCTGAGGACCATAGAGAAGCTCGCAGAGGATGAGGTTTCAGATGCCAAGAGGCTCGTGAGGAAGCTGTCCACGAACAAATTCCGTAGCATGTTGAGTGGAATTTGGCAGTCTTGAATCCAAGAACACGTATGCTTTTCCACTTTGTATAGTTTCACTCCCTTTCTGTGCTTAGTAAACTTGTTCTTGCTGAATTTTCCCTGCAACTTCTGTCACATATTTTTCCTGAATTAGGTTCTTTTTTGGTCTCATATCAATTTTGCAATGCAGAGACTGCAATGAACCGAGATTATATTACTACTAGGTGTCAAACAGGATGGGTCCAGTCCAGGTTTGGATGGCAAAAAGACCGGTCCTATCCAAATTGAGCAATTTAATCCATATTGATTCAGTTTTACGTAATATAATTTTGGCGACCTAATTCGGACCCGACCCATACCCGATCCAACTCGAAGTTCAATTACGAGCAAATTTCCTCCTTAATTTGGCAATATTGAAAGCAATGAGATTTTGTGTACCGATCTTTGCGAATGATTTTTATATTTTTGGGTTGGATTTGAAGCATTTATGCAGATCTAGGAAAGCTTCAATAAAAGATGCTACTGTGAATTTCTTGCATTTAATGTGTTGGGGCAAAAATGTATGAGTAATTAATTATACATCCCATCTTTGAATATTCTGGGGGTCGTGGAGCTTGTGATCCTGATCCGTTACTCAGGAAAATCATATCACTACCGCTTTATGGTTGTATGATTGTATCATAATTCCTCTCTTTTTTTGAAAATTCAAAAGACAAACAGCTTGCAATTGTAGCGAAGAATAATTGCATTTATTACTTTTTTTGACATATTTATGAACATCTTTGAAAAACAACTCAAAGGATACATTATTATTATTATTATTATTATTATTATTATTAAATAGACAAATAAATAGGGACAAAATTACACATTTGGTTTTTTAGAGATGGGTTTTGTAAAGACGAACACATTATTCAATGTTAATTTTTTTAAATTTGTGCAAATAAGTTTGAAATTTTTAATGACAACTTATATTTCGACCGGTAAAAATATGCTTTTGCAAACACTAAAAGTACCTTGATGGCGACGAAACTGATCTCATAAAAAATTGGTATAACATTCATCGTTAAGCTCTTTCTTTTACTCTTTCTTTTTTGTTTAAAACATCATACTTTTTTTATTTACGGACTTATTTACTCTTTATATATATGTGATTTTTTTCTACTTATTAGGTTAAATTGTTGGGTTAGACTTTCTAACAAATATTGTATTAAACACAGTTGTGTCCTAATTTATTTTATGTGTGCGGCCTCCGTTCATCAAATGTCACGTATCACTTAAGAAGGAGTGTTAAACTATTGCACATTTCTTGTTTACGGCTTTGCAATAGTCTTTTTGGTCGTAAAGGTGTAGGACCATTTCCATTTCTAGATATCTATTCTTATAGCTCATTTTCTTGTAGTGGCTCCACCTCTATACAATCTCAATATAGCGAGAATATTTAACCGCGTGTTGTTGCTAGACCAAAAGGATTTAACAACCATAATATCGTCAATCTTTTCATTACATCGAAAAGTTGATGCTGTAGCTCCCTTAATCATTTTTAATCCTTCAACATATGTAGCGCTCTTTACGAATTTCAACTTATCTAAATATATTTATGAAGTAAAAGTTCAGCCAGTTTTATATATATAAAAAAAATATTATAAAATTACCATTATATATTAAGAACACATATCGAATTTAGTGTCAAGAGACTCATTAAAATGATTAATTTTAGGCCACCCATATTTTTGTCATGATAAAAACCCAAAGTAATTATTTTCAAAAATAATATCCCCATGACTCGATTAGTTTTTAAAAAGATAGATAATCAATAAATTATGTTTTTTCCTTTGCAAACAGCAAAGTACACGACAACGTACAAAGCATATCTCATCGTTCTCGTTCGACAGCAGAGAAGCCCGTCGCCATGATCAGGTTTCGCGCCGTCTTTCCATATCTCAGATGCTCCTGCACGCGTGCATTCCCATCTTCATGGCTCTGTTCGTGCGAAACCTTCGCTCAACTCCACCATCGCTTCTCTAAACGCGCGAGTCATGCAGCTCGCGACAGTCCCGCAGCCTCTGCACACCTCAAGAACGGAAACCCAGATGGAACTCGGGAGGTTCTGGACATGTCTCGATGCCCAGATGTTCGTTCGGTCACGAAGATGATCGCGGGTCGCTTGCGAAACGGCCGCCTTGGCGACGCCCTGAAACTGTTCGACGAAATGCCCGCGAGAGACTCGGTTTGTTGGAACACGATGATCAAAGGCTGCTTGGACTGCGGGGACTTGGTGACGGCAGAAGAGCTTTTCGACGAAATGCCCGAACCGAGTGTTGTTTCGTGGACGACGATGGTGGATGGGTTCTTTCGATTTGGACAAGTTGAGCGGGCGGAGAAATTTTTCAAGCAGATGCCCATTAGAGATCTTACTGCATGGAATGCGATGCTTCATGGGTATTGTGAGAATGCGAGGGTGGACGATGCTGTAAGATTGTTTGAGCAAATTCCTTCTCGTAACGTCATTTCATGGACTTCAATGATTGGCGGGCTTGACCAAAATGGGAGATGTGAAGAAGCTTTAGTTGTTTTTGAGAGAATGTTCAAGTCTGGTATGGTACCGAATGCGAGTACTTTGACATGTGCATTGAGTGCCTGTGCAAATGCATTGTCTTTTCCTCTTGGTGTGCAGATTCATGGTCATGTTTTCAAGTCAGGATTCTGCCTTAGTGGCTTTGTATGTGCTTCTCTCATCACATTCTACGCTAACTGTAAGCGAATTGAGAAATCAACCCAAGTCTTCAATGAAGTGGCGTCTAGGAATGTGGTCATATGTACAGCTCTTCTAACTGGTTATGGCTCGAATGGTAGGCATGAAGATGGCCTGAAGATTTTCAGTGACATGATAAGAAAAAGTGCTCTTCCTAATCAATCTTCTTTTGTAAGTGCTTTAAATTCTTGCTGTGGTTTGGAGTCTCTAGATCGAGGTAAGGAGGTTCATGCGTCAGCTGTTAAGCTGAAATTGGGATGTGATGTTTTTGTTGGCAATTCTCTTATAGTCATGTATAATAAGTGTGGAGTCATTGATGATGCTGTTGGGGTGTTCAAAAGGCTCAGGGAGAAGAACATCGTAACATGGAATGCTATTGTTTGTGGGTGTGCACATCATGGCCGAGGCATGTGGGCCATGGAGCTGTTTAGCAAAATAATACGTGGACTGGTGCAACCAGATGAGATCACACTCACGGGATTGCTTTCTTCCTGTAATCATTCTGGGATGTTACAGAAGGGGAGATGCTTGTTCCGGTACTTTAGTGAAAACACTTCCATTGAATTGAAGCACGAGCATTATGCATGCATGGTGGATGTCCTAGGACGATATGGGAAGCTAGAGGAAGCAGAGGATCTTGTAAGAAACATGCCCCTTAAAGCTAACTCCATCGTGTGGCTTGCTTTGCTTAGTTCTTGCAGGATGCATTCTAACATAGATTTGGCAGAGAGAGCTACAAACTATATTCTTGACCTAGAACCCCACTGTAGTGCTGCTTATGTTTTATTGTCCAATTTATACGCTTCTGCTAATAGGTGGAGTGATGTATCGAGATTAAGAGTGACTATGAGGGATAGAGGGATTGTGAAGCAACTAGGTAGCAGTTGGGTTACCATAAAGGGCCAAAAGCATTTATTTCTTTCTGGGGATAAATCTCACCCTTTGAGTGAAAACATATATTGGAAGCTGGATTGGTTAAAAATGAAGTTGAAAGAATTGGGTCATGTTCCAGATAGGAGGTTCTCTCTCCATGACGTGGAAGACGAACAGAAGGAAGAGTCGTTATTTTACCATAGTGAAAGGCTTGCTGTTGCATTTGCATTGATTAGTACAGTCGAAGGCAGTACAATAACTGTAATGAAGAATCTTCGCATTTGTGGCGATTGTCATTCTGTGATAAAACTTATTGCAAAGATTGTTGATCGGGAGATAGTTGTGAGAGATTCCAGCCGCTTTCATCATTTCAAGAGTGGCATTTGCTCTTGTGGGGATTATTGGTAGCGAGGGCATGCGGTTATTTCTCCTGTCATGAACCTATGAACATCCTGAAATTGCTCATCTTGTTAAGCACTGATGAGAGTGGAGCAGCTACACTGGCCCTACTAAATATGGGCTTACCTTTGTTGTTGACATAATAGACAACAAATTCATCTGGAATCTGGGCTTTTTTATCAGTTCCAGTGTGGACCCCACATGATCCAAGAAGTTGATTGATTTAGTCTAGTAGGCTGAGGGTGTCCAAGTATTTCTCAGCTATATGAGTTGGGCATGTGGAAAGTTGGGTGACTTGGGAGGAACTCTTGCTTTGGATGGCAATGCCATCCATGGGCTCCATACCGGAATTTCTGTTGAAGTAAGTATTTATCGCTTTGCTTATGGCTTTAACCCCACCAAACAAACAGAAATACTCATTGTAAGATATCCCTTCCGCAGGATTAAATCAAGTGAGAAAACCCAGACCTTGGAAATAGCTATTTTCTATATCTCTCGAGAGATATAGAAATTAGGGCATTTAGGAAGAAGGAAGTACCGCTTCGGTAAAAGAAAAGAAATCCACCCAACCAAAAGGGTACCTGCCCTGCCTCCCCTTTTCTGATTTGGAATTGAAAGTTGGTCCTTTTCTGGAAAAATCCCATCAACTCTTCTCCTCAACCCCTCTATTAGCATTCTCACAGCCTCTCTCTGTTTCTTCGTTATGTGATTTAACAGAAGCTTCTTCATCTTTGGATAAAACTTCACCTAATGTCCTCTCGCAATGTTGCTGGAGCTTTTCAACAAATCGACAGTACCAAGTGAGGTTTGTTAACTTGTGGTGCCAAAATTAGTCCTCTCATGTTTCTTGTCTTTGAGCAGATGTCAGTGATAGAAACTGGTAGTCATAAAAGCACAATAAAATTTCAATGGTCTGGCACAATTGATCAGTTATCGATGCTCCCTTATGTATTGCACAAGAAGTGGAAACTATTTCTTTTGATAGTGATTAGTCAACTCTTCATTTTGGAGTTTTCACTATCCTATTAGGTCTGTCTCTTCAAGAATTCTTTTACTTTTCCTGTGGATTTTTTCTTGTTGTGTGGGGTTGAAGTCCATATCTCTTCTGCCATCTATTTTCTCATGTCTTTCTAATATGTGGCTCAGGCTTCCAATTGAGAACTAGTCTTGTTCATGTTGAAGATGAATTCCACAATACCTCTGCCAGTAATAATCTAGCACTACCTTGCGGATTCCTTATTTCTATGTATAAAAGTAGGATCTCAGAGTGCATTTTAATTCATAGTTCTGACGATACGTACTTGAGCTGAGTTTGCTTGTTGTAGGTTTCAGGTTGTGCTTACCAAGTTTAACACTTCCCACGATCGAAAGTTACACTTGGCCTTACATTTGAAGCTGTGTGTGCATTAAGAGAAAAGTTTATGGTTTTTTGTCAGACTATTCATGTTCTTTGGCCTCGTTAAACACTGCACATTATGTCAAGACTGGAGACTTGTCTCCCAAAATGTCTGCATAAACTGGTTAGAACTTTTCTTCTTCTGTTTTACTAGGTACATGAAGTGCTAACAGTCCTTGCCCTTCAGTTACTTTTCATCTTGCTGTTATGAGTAGAAAGCGTTACTTTATTCTGGTCTTATTTGATGAACTAGTCTTGGTTTTGAGGTTAGAGGTGTAAACTTTGAAGAACTGACTCTTTTGACATCTGGTCAGGAATGTTGTGATTCTTTGACTAATGGAAAGTACCATTGTGATATGTAGGGTAAAACAGAGCTCTGTCATTTGTTTACATGTATATATGATTGATACCCAAGAGGTTTGGACTTGTCATTCTTTAGAGTCATGTCACATTGTGATCTGATTTGCAATGAAGCTTTCTTGATATTCATTACTTGCTATCATGTATTAGAGGTTTATAACATAGCATACAGGTATGGCTGTGTGATTTTACTCCCCCATGACCCATAAATTACAATGATTACTCTTTCAGTGAAGTCTTCACAAAATTGTCATATAGATTTATCTTGGCCTTTACTCTGCAAAAAATGGGAAGAGAAGCATGTTAGTTTGCATCTTTTTGAAGTACATGTAGAAGATTATCCTGTAGAAGATTATCATTAGGAGATGCAACGACCTTGGCTGTCTCTGATTGATGTTCTCTGATATATGTTTTATACTGTTAATTTTCTTTTATTATTGTTCCTCTAGTTCATGAAGGTACATCTCTGTTGACTTTGCTTTTGTGTATACACTTAATGCATTTACCTATAGGCCCAAATCGCAATGGCAGTCTCCCTTTAGTGACGGAGGCATGGGCAAGTGCTGCTTGACAGTTTCACCAAATAGCTCCCATGAGAGTTCTCTTACCTGACACGAACAACCACTTCCGGTTGGGAAAGCTGCAGGTGAAAGAATGACTCACTATGGCACGAGAGGTTGATGTTTTTGTAGTTGCTTGCAGCACTAGGAGGAACTGGCTTGGCAGAGAGAACACTGGGATCGTTGTTACACAGCGAGCACAAGAACATTAGTCTTCCAACTCTTCATTGTTTTCAACTTGCTTTTTGTTTCGTGGAATATGTATAACAATCTTTGATAAATTAATGGGAGCTAGTTGAAATCAGAAAGTAAATATAAGAACAATTTGGAAGAATATCCAAATTTCACTATTATTCCTCTACAATGAATTTTTGTCCGTTTTATATAGAAGTGCCTGAACTTTTTTTTTTTTTTCCAATTGAGTACCTAATCTTTCAAAATATAGCTCCATATGGTGACTTGCTTACTCTGATACACATTGCTATGTAGGAGTGCCAATTTAAGATGGATTAATTTTTTTTTTCCCTAAACATGGTTTTTATTATTTATATTTTTTCTTTCATCTTCATCATATCCTTCCATGTTCAGCCATCGTCTGGGCGAGAGTTAGCCAGAAGATATGGCTTTGTTGGAAGCCTTGAGCTTTATGTCAACGGAACCTCCATTAAAGCGATCAATCCGTGTTCATATAGGAAACTTGCTATTCTGAGTGCTTGCAACTGTAAATCCTTAACTCTAATCGAATCAATTGGTAACTTGAGATCTCTTTTGCACCTAACATTGGAACATTGAACTCAGGGACCTCCTTCTTCTATTCGATTGCTGGAGAATTCTTCCAATGATAAATTATGTCCCTCAACTCCGTCCCAAATTTCGTGAAGTTAGTTCATAATCAAACTACATGCACTATAAACAATTTAGATGATTTTGAGGTTATAAACTTTACAAAATTAGAAAATTTGGCCCATCCGAAACTTATTGTATCACGAGAATTTGATAGTAAGGTTGATACCCAAATTGAGCTCGATACTCATGGATCCGACTAAAATTGACAGCATTAGCCCAAATGAATAAGGTCCCCGAGCCTTGAGGAAGGGTTGGCGTTTCACAGAAACAACACCCAAAAATAGATGCTGGGTGGCAAGTAAGGAATGAAGAGTCACTTGTTAGTACTAATAGGATAAAAAGATTGGCTGTTGGAAATCGATGATAGATCAGCTACCGCGTGTCAGGAGGACATGGGCTAATCATGTATTGCTCTGAGCCACCTAGCCAACACTTTCTAAAACATTTATTCTAGGATCCTACCACCTATCCCAAATCATTCGTTCATGGAACAGTGCTCAAGTGATATAAATTTGCAAAATTTAAGAAAGTAAATAAAGAAATAATATGTATTTTTCATAACTATAAATAATCAAAATTATGCATTTACAACTTCAGGATACTCAAGTCCGTGACAGGGTTCTTTCCATATGGAAGTACTAATTTTAACTTTGTACATGGACAAAGCTCCAATTATCAAAAGAAATTATACTCAACTGTAATCTTGTAAAAATCTCTGTCAATCTCCAAAGTTTGACTTTGATTCCTACATTATTCTATCCTTCAAATACCATTATATGCACTTCCTAATTGTAAGAGGACCCAAACTAAAGATGGATTTATTTTCTCAAATCTGCGTGGCCTAATAAAAGTACTATTTCCTCGATTAGAGTTATATTCCCATTTTGACATTCTGTCATTTGCGGTAACTGTATCTATTCATATCCATATTTGATATTGCTTTGAATCTCACATCAGTATTCTTGATATAATAATAATAATAATAATAATAATAATAATAATAATAGTAGAAAAGAGTGATTAACCTAAAATATCTTTAGCTCCAATTTTCATTTTTTTTTCTTTTTCTTTTTATTGAACGACATCATAGTGAGACGCAAGTTTGGCCGAGGATATCTAGGCAGACACTCAACAGACATAAATTCCTTTTCTGGCATAATCAATTAAGAGGTTTTTTTTTATATGAGTATTTAATAGGTTTATTCGTATTCACATATACAAAAATAAGGCTACGGATTTTCTACATAAATTTCCACATCTGGATTCCTCCATGCCTATGTAGTCTGACGTGTAAAATTAAAAGTTTCCAAGGAGCTGACCATTTATCCACCATTAATTAAGTTTCTATTAGGGGACATTTTTTTTGTCCATTCTTGTGCTCGTACTAAACTTTGCAATATCACTCATTTGAAAATTTGGCCGGTCCCAAATTTATTGTATCACAGGAATCTGATAGTAAAGTTGACAACCCAATTGACCTCGTTATTCAAGGATCAGGCTAAAATTAAAAGTATTAGCCCGAATGGATAAGGTCCCCGACCTTGAGGAAGAGTTGGCGTTTCACGGAAATAACACCAAAAGTAGATGCCAAAAAGTCTCCTCATGAATGAATTTGATAAGGTGTTTATACTGGTAGGATAAAAAGATTGGTTGTCGGAAATCGATGGTAGATTAGTTACCACGTGTTAGGAAGTCATGGGCCAATCATGTACAGCCACATGTAAGGAGGATCATCCGAACGAGTCTCTCTCTGATCCCATCAACGAGCAATAATAATCTAAGATCCTGCCACCTATCACAAATCATTCGCTCATGGAGCAATGATCAAGTAAAATAAACTTACAAAAATTTAAGAAAGTGTATAAAGAAATAATATATTTTATTTTTCACAACTATGAATTAACAAAATTATGCATTTATAGTATCGTATTTCAACTCCACAACACTCGACTCCGTGACAGGATTCTTTCCATATAGGAAATACTATTTTTCTTTGGTATTGAGGAAATACAAATTTTAACTTTGTACATGCATGGACAAAGCTGCAATTTTGAAAAGCAGATTATACTCAACTGTAATTTCGTGAAAATCTATGTCAATCTTCAAAGTTTGACTTTAATTCCTACATGATTCTATTCTTCAAATACGATTATATGCACCTCCTAATCGGAGGAGGACACAAACTTAAGATGGATTTATTTTCCCAATATCTGCGGGGCCTATTAAAATCACTATTTCCTCTTCTAGAGTTATATTCCCATTTTGACACCGTCATTTGTGGTAACTCTATCCATTCATATCCATATTCGATATTGATTTGAATCTCACATCACTATTCTTGATATAGTAATAATAATAATAATAATAATAATGGAAAAGAGTAATTAACCTAAAATATCTTTGTCTCCCACTTTCATTTTTTTTCTTTTTCCTTTTATTGAAAAACATCATAGTGAAACGTAAGTTTGGCCAAATCAATTAAGGCTGCGTTTGGTAGGCAAGATAAAATTCAGGATAGGATAACATTTATCCTATGCTATGTTTGGTTCTTACTCAAGATGGGATAAAGCGGGATATAAGGGGGATATAACCCGGATAAAATTATTTTAGGGGAGAGGTAGGATAAATGTGGATATGATTTCTTATATTTATGATATAAAAGCTATTTTTCTCGAAACAAAATTTTTAAAAGATAAAAATAAAATAATATTTGAGTTATAATATTAAAAAGATAATTTAGAATAACAAAAAATAATTATCGTTTTTTATATATTCCTATATTATTTATATAATTGAATTTCTTTCTACTCTATAATATATATTTAATATCTATATTATTACATATTTTAGGTATAATAGTATAGTTTATAAGTTGATAAAATTTTTATAAAAGACTAATGGAAGGGAATAAAAAAATAAAAAAAGAGATGGAAAAAATAAAAAAAATTGAGTAAATAAGAATGAGGTAGAAGAACCCAGATTTTAATAAACAAATTCAAATTTGAAAATAATCTTTCTAATTCTCGAAAAATGAGGGGCAATGAAATTTCTAAAAAAACCTACGTACCCTCACTCTACTCCTATGTATTTGGTTCACGTTGAAGCTTTACGACTCTGTAGTTTTTTAGTTCACGTTAAAGTTCCATGAAAGTGGCGAGAGAGTCTAAGCTTCTTCTCATTTGTGGCTCTCCGGTTCATGTCTAAAGTCCACAAAAGCAGCAAGAGAGTCGAAACTCCTCTGTAATTTTGTGGTTCATATTAAAGTTTCACAAAAGTAGTGAGGGAGTCCAAATACTATATTTTTCATAATCACAAAAGTGAATGATTATATTTTTACTCTCTTACTAGATTTAGCAATGAATTATGAGAGATTTTTACAATATTCGTTTGTGTATTTTTATATTCATTTATATTGATATGTCGTAAATAACAAACAATGGATGTGATAAAATATGAAAATATCCGGCTTTTTACTACGATTCACCAAACAATGGATAGGATATGGCAAAATCCTTGGATTTCATATCCTATCATATCCAATCCAATCCTAGTTAGAAATCCGGACAACCAAACGCAGTCTAAGAGGTTCTCTGTTTTTTTTTTTTTTTGCATTTAATAGGTTTATTCGTATTCATTGATATAAAAAGAAAGGCCCCAGATTTCCTACATAAATTTCCACATCCGGATCGCCTATGTAACTCCAAACAGCTGACCATTTATCCGCCATTAATCAAGTTTCCATTAGGGGGACAATACATTTTTTTGATCCCTGCAATTTGAGAGATTTCGCTTTCGGTCCTTATACTTTGCTCGGGTCAGAATTCTCGTCCTCGTACTATTCTCCGGCCACGATTCAAGTCCTTCCATGAAATACAAGTCTCTAAAATAAACTCACACTTTTGATCCCCGTACTTTTAAAATGTTCAAATTTAAGCCGTTGTGCTCTATTTTTGCATGAAATAAATTCTAGCAAAACGGATATCACCATAGGATAGACATTGATAGGGACCAAGAAACGATGACATGGATCGATATCGAGTCGTATCTTTCTTAATAAGAAGAGCTTTAAAAATGGAAAAACACAAGAAGAAAGAAATAAAAGAGCGGATAAGGTCGGATTAGTACTAAATATACTCCAGTCCATACTTCATGGAAGCACTTTTCACTGCAAATAGCCCTTAAAATTCCCACATTCCATCTCGCGACTCATTCTCGCTTCGTCTTCCTCACGTGTGAAGAAGAGCTAGGGTTAGAAGAATGCCTGCAGCAGGAGGGATAGTCTCCGGTGGCAGCGACAGGGAGTACCCGGGGAAGCTCACCGGGAACGTGCTGGTGACATGCGTCGTCGGCGCAATGGGCGGCCTCATCTTTGGCTACGACATCGGCATCTCCGGTACACAATAGGTTTCGCGCATCGTCTTTCACCTCCGTCTGATAACCGGGCTGAAACTCTGGTTTTTTGCAGGCGGGGTTACGTCGATGCCCTCATTCCTGAGGAGGTTCTTCCCGTCGGTATACGAGAAGCAGCAAGGGGATAAGATTACGAACCAGTACTGCCAGTACAACAGCGAGACGTTGACCCTGTTCACCTCGTCGCTCTACCTGGCGGCTCTCCTGTCGTCGCTGGTCGCTTCAACCGTGACGAGGAGGTGGGGGAGGAAGCGGTCCATGCTCTTTGGCGGGATCCTCTTCTGCGCCGGCGCTCTCCTCAACGGGTTCGCCGAGCATGTTTGGATGCTCATCGTCGGGCGCATCTTCCTCGGTTTTGGTATTGGATTCGCCAATCAGGTTCATGCATTTTTTTTTTCTCTTTGATTTTTTTTTCTCTTTGATTCTTATATCACGTGGTATACCGGCATCAAATTTGCATATGTTGCATTATGCACTTTTTGTCAGATTGGCATTGTTGCAAGTTCAAGATGTTAGTGTTCGCCAGAAAATTTTTGTTTTAAAATTTATGACCTTGTTGGCCTAGGTTTGTTTTTTGGTCAAAGTCGGCCTAGGTCAGACCAGGCCTGATATGCTCTCGAGGGATAAAGGAGCGAATCTAACAAGCAATTTTCTTCTTCGAGCCTATTCAGGCTCGGTCTATTCGAGCCTATTCAGGCTCAATCGATTTTTTCGAAAGAAATTATTACTTTCTCTAATCATAAGACCTATGTAAAAGTTTTCTTCAATCTCGGTACAAGGATTCATCCCCTCATTGATCATATCTTCGATCGCATACGTGATTCCTTGGTTTTCTTATTCCTAATGAATGAGATTTTTTCTATTTAATTTCAATTGCAAATATCAAATATAGTAAAGTCAAGGTTTAGAAACTCTTCATGTGGTGTGGACACTTTGGAGGTTGCCATTGAAGAACGTAGTATAAATAGGCACTAGAGAAAAAGGTTTCATGAGGCAAAATCAAAGATTGACCTTAGTATGTATATATATATATACGTACAATAGTTATTTGATTTTTTTAATAGTTATTTGATTTTCAATCATTACTTTTATTGTACTTTTTGAATGGCTAATTTTTCTAATATGTTAATTCATATGTTAATTTGAATTTTCAGTCTGTGCCACTCTTCCTCTCTGAGATGGCCCCTTACAAATACAGAGGAGCTCTCAACATTGGGTTCCAGTTATCCATCACGGTTGGAATCCTGGTGGCCAATGTCCTCAACTACTTTTTTGCGAAGATCGAGGGCGGTTGGGGGTGGCGGCTGAGCCTCGGCGGCGCCGTGGTCCCTGCCCTCATCGTCACCGTGGGGTCCCTCATCCTCCCCGATACCCCGAACTCGATGATCGAGCGGGGCGAGCGCGAAGCAGCCAAGGTGGAGCTGCAGCGGATCCGCGGCGTCGAGAACGTCGACAATGAGTTCGAGGACTTGGTGGCGGCGAGTGAGGAATCGAAGCGAGTGGAGCACCCTTGGCTGAACCTCTTGCAGAGGAAGTACAGGCCTCACCTCACCATGGCAATATTGATTCCCCTCTTCCAGCAGCTCACTGGGATCAATGTGATCATGTTCTATGCCCCGGTCTTGTTCAACACCCTGGGGTTCGAGAACGACGCATCCCTCATGTCCGCCGTGATCACGGGGCTCGTCAACGTCGGCGCCACTTGGGTCTCGATCTTTGCCGTTGATAAAGCGGGCAGGAGAGTCCTTTTCCTAGAGGGTGGAACTCAAATGCTGATCTGCCAGGTACTTGACCTTATGACTTTTGCTACGACCAAATTCATTTGCAATCGTTTTGTTTAGTACATTATGCATATAGCCCAAAAATGTCGGTGACAAGCAACTTTATATTAGTCCCTCAATTCAGAGACATTATTAACTAAACCTATCATATGTACTAAATGAATTAGGACCATCAGATTTAATTGGACCCGCCAATTTCTATGGTTCATCTCTAAGATATGTACATATACTATTTATGTTATAATTTATTTATTAGATATGAAACTATATTTGGTCCTTATCCTGGTTCATCCCTGAAAGTGTGGTTTATAGATGTGCACTTATAATTTGGATCAATGAACGAATTGTTGAGGGCATGAATAGACATATTGCAATTTTCCGTTGACATGTTCAGATTGTTGTTGCTTCGGCAATTGGTGCGAAATTTGGAGTGGATGGGAATCCGGGCGAGTTGCCCAAGTGGTACGCGGGCATCGTGGTGGCCTTCATCTGCACCTACGTCGCTGGGTTTGCGTGGTCATGGGGGCCGCTCGGGTGGCTCGTGCCGAGTGAGATCTTTCCCTTGGAGATCCGGTCGGCCGCCCAGAGCATAAACGTCTCGGTCAACATGTTCTTCACGTTCGTGGTGGCTCAGGTCTTCCTCAACATGCTCTGCCACATGAAGTTCGGGTTGTTCTTGTTCTTCGCCTTCTTCGTGATCGTCATGTCCATATACATCTACATCTTCTTGCCCGAGACGAAGGGCATTCCAATCGAAGAGATGAGCATGGTGTGGAAGAAGCACTGGTACTGGTCTAGATTCGTTGGCGATGACGACATTCTTAAAGGAGGGATCGAGATGGGCCGCGACAGACCGACCCCGAAGCTTGTGTGAATGAAGAATTATGTGAGCTTTTGGACATTTTCGTTGTTTCTAGTTGGTCGTGGTGCAAATAATCGTAATTGTTCTAGTTGTCTTGATGATGCACTCAGTTATTATATTTACTTTCGTGGACTGTCAGTTTCTGATATTTTCTGAATAAATCCTTGTACAGGAGGAAAAGGAAATGTGTTATGTGATTGTGAAGTAGAGATGTGACGCTACTTATTGGGTGATATTTTGTGTGCATTGGATGAAAGTGTGGTTTAATGTTTAATTATTCTATCAGTTTATTTTGTTTTGTGACGTACCCCAAGGTTGACTACTCGAACAATAGGATCGGGAGAGTGACTTGCACATACGGAAACTTCGTCACAAAATCGAGTAGAAATTTCAGTTCTGCGCTAATTTCAGAAAATAGGCATAACTCTGTCGAATCAGATCGGAATGACCTGATTCCAAATCCAAAAGAACAAGGACTCATGGATCTACAACTTTTGTGTTTTGAGTTTTCTCAAATAAGTGCTGTGGAGTTGTCGAATTTGGAAGGAAGTGGGCGGTCGTGACTGGTCAGAATGCGGGAAAGGAAAGGAACTTCAAGGATGCTCTTCTAGGCCTCCAAGGAAGTTGAAAGGACATCAATTCCTCTAGATTGATGGCTGCAACTCTTCCATGATGCAGACTTGAAAAGCTCTGACTTTTCAAGGACGAAGTGAAAATTCTTCTAGGTTTTCAAGGGGCTTGAACTCTTCGAAGTTCAAGAAATTGCACTAGGCAAATTGTATTAATCAAATTCAGTCTGCTTTTTACATGGACTTGAGGCCCTTTTATACAAAACAAAAGAAGAGCAAAAGACTAAACCTAAAAACCATAAACTATTAAAGTACATAGAAACTAGAAGCACTTAGAAACTAGGAACTATTAAATGTACAATAATTCCAGTACTAGTTGCCGTCTCGAGGAGTCTTGATGCAAGCTTCGATGCATGGAAAATGACAAAGTCAAAGATGAGGCTTTTCACTTATCGATCTTATCGATGAGACTCTTGGTGTTTGTTGATTTATCGATCTTGAATATGAGCCTATTTCTTGGCTGAATGAGCTGGTCTTGAAGCCGGGCTGCATCATTTTGTTTGTGCATACAAGGAGGACATTTCGAGAGTCAAAGCATGACATCAAAGTTTATTTTGTAGCATGGTTTGGTATAATACTCGGTTGTGCAATTTAAAGGGAGTTAAGTAACCTAATTGAATCAATCTGACCCCCAAAAAAAAAAACGCTAATTGAACCAAAATGAGGTTTATGAATTACGGAGATTATCGAGCAAAACTCGAGAACTGAGACTACTGAGGTCGTCTCCTTAATTGATTTATGCTTCAGCGCGTTACTAGGATGTCGCTTTCAAGCGATTTATATCTAAGAATTGCCTCTAATCCTATAATGAAGTGCGGGAAAAGCAAGACTTACAGCCTTCGATCAGTTTGCTCTCAGCCATGGAAACAGCAAGCAGAAGTGAGAGCACCAGCAACATTTGGAAGCAGAAGATAATTGCACTCTTTCCAATATTTGCCATTTCTTGAGTAAATGTATATGTAAATTTAAGGCCAATAAGACTATGATTTGAAGTGACTATTGTTGCGGAAGCAAGCGATTAAACAGTAAAATAGATTGAACAAGAGAATAAGTCGGACATCAAATTTAAGTGATTCGGTCGAGGTGACCTACATCCATGGATAGAGCAACAAATAATTTCATTATAGATCAAGTGATAGAATAGAGATTATAACCACGTTCAAGTCACTCAAACACTCTTAATATTTCTTAGCTCTCAATACACCGAATAACTCACGTAGTGTTTAGTCTCACAATTTCTTGGGAAATAGTCTCTTAATCTCACGAAAGATTTAACAAATCTTGCCACAAGATTTCATGGCTACAAACACTAGTCCTCCTTGGATGTAATTGCACAAAGTAAACCTTCACTTTGAATTGAGACAACAACCTCACGAAGAAGCGCTCCCTTTGCATGCGTTCATCAACAACGGCGCCACTTGCAAGTTGCAATACACTTGCAAGCTTGACACAGGCAAAAATAAACCTTCGATATATTTATATGTAACGCTGCATGAGAAGTCCAAGACCGAGAGATATCGGGAAACAAAGTCCAAAATTTGGGATTTTCCTTTTTTTTCTTCAATTAACTTTCCTTGGCCGACTCTCACACCAATCAAGACAATATTTCTTTGTCTCTAAGTTATCAAAATTTAAGTCAGAAACTTGCTCGATGTGAATCATCTGAAAAAAATCAAGTCTGTGCTTATCTATAATTTTCTCAGGTCGGGTTTCATTCACGGGCTCAAATTCGAGATATATTTTGACAAAATCTATACTTGGTTGTGAATACCCACTTGCATCCAATTGTGGTCTTTCCCTTGGGAAGATCCATCATATCCCACATTCCATTTTTTTCCGGAGCTTTCATCTCCTCAAGAATTGCTTCCTTCCACTTAGGAACTTGAAGGGCATCCTTCACATTTTTTGGAATCTCCAGACAAGACAATGTTGAGGTAAAGGCACGAAAATTGGGTGAGAGGTTTTTGTAATACACATAATGAGATAGGATGTTTGGTAGAAGATCTAACTCCTTTTCGTATAACAATAGGTATGTCAAGTTCATTAGTATTTTCTTTTTTTTGACTAAGATCAGGTTGAACAAATTAAGTTGGAACATTACGTGAAGACTGCATGGAATTCTGATCATGTCCTAATTCAGACTCATGGTACCTAAAGGGAGCAAGAGACTCATTTCTTTGAGTTTTGTCTCTTCTTGTGTAGACTTTAGAATGGGATGGAAGCTCTATACTCTTGATACTAGTTTCCCACCTATTATGCTCACAAGTAGGATGAGATGCCAATGCAGGTGGACCCGAATTTTCTTTATTTAAAACACTTGGTTCAAACTCTGATATAAGGGTTGCGGGAATAGGATTTTTAGGAAGAGGACTTTCAGGTTCTGTTAGACGAAAAGACTCGATGATGGTGTTGTGCAAATCTGTACTTTCTTTCCCCCCTAAAGACCGGCTCCAAAAAAAAGGTGTTAATTAAAAAATTGTGACATCCATGGTGACAAACATTTTTTTTGGAAATCGGGTCATAGCATTTTTACCCTTTTTGATTAGGTACATAACCAATAAGCACACATAATTTTGCTCTAGGACCAAGTTTCTCCTAATATTTGTCATGGATGTGGACAAAGGAGGTACAACCGAATAGTTTTAGGGGCAAGACTGAAGCAAGTCTAGAGGCTAGGTAGGACTTCCGAAGGACTTTCAGGGGTGTTTGAAACCTTAACACTTTGAAAGGCATCCTATTGATAAGATATGTGGATATAAGAAAAGCTTCACCTCAGAAGTATGTAGGAACTCTAGTTGTGAAGAGTAGATCTTTAGTAACTTCTAAAAAGTGTTTATTCTTCCTTTCTGCCACCCCATTTTGTTGAGGGGTGTCAGGGCAAGAACTTTGATGCACAATTTCTTTTTCCAAGAAAAATTGTCCCAAAATTTTATCGAAATATTCTTTCTCATTATCACTCCTAAAAATCTGGTTTTGTGCTTAGAAAGTGTTTGTATCATGGTGTAAAATTTTAAAAATAGTCTCTACTTTAGATCTCCCTTTTAACAAGTATACCCAACTCACCCTCGTATGATCATCAATATATATAAAAACTAGAGGCTAATGGATTACGAAGTAAAACCTAAGATTTAGCTTGGGCTCTCCCAAACCCATACTAACTCGCAACTAAAGGTTTAAAGTTATTAACATGTAAATCAATTTTTTTAGGAGTCATTACTAATCAGTTAGAGTGCATCGATTATAAACCCAAGTAAAGCGACGGGAGAATCGCCTTACTCCTATGAACTAGAGATTCAATGAGTTCATGGACTTGATTACACTAGTTATTTATCTAGTGCCCTTTCAGTACCTAACCTTGTTCAAATGCCAATTAAGATGTTCATGCATCAAACTTGCAGGTCGGGAGCAAAAAGATTTTCTTCATGATCAGGCTAACAACCCAAACGGGAATGTACAAACAACAACCTAGCAAGCCTCTAATCATCAACATGCGAGGTAGACTTAAAAACGCAATTCAAACATGCAAAGCAAACAATGTGCAATCAAGCATAACACGAATCACACCAAAAGGACAAGGATCGATCGGGACCGATTCAGGTGGTCGAGGCCACAGGCACACCAAGCCTGATTCGCATGCTCGATCTAGCTTGCAAAAAGGTCCCCAACCCCTAAAAGAAAACAAACAAAACTGAGCCCAGCCCAAAGCCTATTTCTAGCTTCCTAGCCCAGCCCCAAGTGCACAAAAATGGCCCAGAAACAAGCGAATCGGGTTGGCCAGACCCGCAAACCCAACCCAACCCGATTTGTGGCCTGCTACTTGGCAGCAACCCTACCGCGATGGAGATGGCCACGGCAACAACGGGGAGCCGCGTGTCTCCGTCTAGTCTAGAGGGGGGCACAGTGGGGATGCCTTGGTCGAGTCGAGCCTAGTGCTCAAGTCTTTGTCTGGCCGGCGGCGCTCCAACGGTGGCGGACTGGGGGCGTCAGCCACCTCGACCACAATGCCAGGCCTGCATCACCCCTTCGCGGCTTTGCTCTACTCCCGTCAAGTTGCGTCTGCTCTACCCCTCCTCTATCAAGTTGCGTGAGGAAGGAGGAAAGGGAAGGAAGAGAGATGGAAGTAGGCCGGGCCTAGCGGAAAAGAAAGAAAGAAAGGGAGCTGGGTCGGCTCGGCCTCGGCCCTATTCCGCCCTTTTCTCTCTCTTTTTTTTATTTACTTTTTTTTAAAATAATAAAAAAATAAAAATATGTTCTAATGAGCCCAATTAATGCTAATGCACCTAATGTCTATATGACATGTCATTTGATGAGAAATTATTTTTTTGTTTAGGGGTTAAATATTAATCCATAATTTTCTATGCGATAAATTACTAAATGGGTAATCAAAATCTAGGTGTCAACAATTATATGACTGGTCATCTCCTTTCTTGAGAGAACATAAGGATTTCAAGGGTATTCGAGCAAATGGGTAAGAAGAGAAAACATACATTCTCAATTTTGATTCCTCGCTGGCCGGGGGAAATGTCTTAATTGCTTTTGAGGTTCCTGGATCGTATTATTTTAATTCCGATTGATAGTGATTTATTTACCTATTGAGTCAACGTAACGTCTGATAGTGATTTCTTGTGAGGAAATTTTCAAAAGT